CTGTGAAGCTCTTTATCTGACCTTCACTTCTGAATGATAGCTTTGCTGGATAAAGTAGTCTTGGTTGTAGCTTCTTGGTATTCATCACTTTGAATATTTCTTGCCACTCCCTTCTGGCCTGCAAAGTTTCTGTTGAGAAATCAGCTGACATTCGTATGGGTACTCCCTTGTAGGTAACTGATTTTCTTTCTCTTGCTGCTTTTAGGATTCTCTCTTTGTCTTTTGCTCTTGGCATTTTAATTATGATATGTCTTGGTGTGGTCCTCTTTGGATTCCTTTTGTTTGGGGTTCTCTGCGCTTCCTGGACTTGGAAGTCTATTTCTTTCACCAGGTAGGGAAGTTTTCTGTTATTATTTCTTCAAATAGGTTTTCAATATCTTGCTCTCTCTCTTCTTCTGGCACCCCTATTATTCAGATGTTGGTACGCTTGAAGCTGTCCCAGAGGCTCCTTACACTATCTTGATATTTTTGGATTCTTTTTTCATTTTGCTTTTCCGGTTGGGTGTTTTTTGCTTCTTTGTATTTCAAATCTTTGACTTGATTCTTGCGATCCTCTGGTCTGCTGTTGGGAGTCTGTATAATATTCTTTATTTCCGTCAGTGTATGGTTAATTTCTAGTTGGTTGTTTATCACAACATGGAGGGTCTCACTAGATTTCTTGACGATCTCAATACATTTATCAGCGGTCTCACCAGTCTTTTCGAGGGCCTTACTAAATTTATCAGCGGCTTCAAGACAGTTCTTTAAAGACCTTAAAAGTGTGGTTTTGACCTCTATATCCTGCAGTTTGCTTTCCTCCATTTCTGTCATTTGTGTCCTGTTTCTTTGTCTCGGCATTTTTTATGCTTCACTGTGTCAATAGGGTGCCTTTCTGTGCTAAGTGTCCCAATTACCTGAGGTAGACACTCTTGGTGCACCCCCTTGTGGGCTTTGTGCACAGTCTTGTTTTAATTAAGCCTTGATTGTTGTAGTTATCACTGGGAGGAATTGACCTCCAGGCCAATTGGCTGTGAGTATCAGCTGTGTCTGCAGTGGGAGAACTTCTGTGCTGGAGACACCCCTCTGGGGCAAGACTTGCTTCAATGGGGCTTTGGTGCTCACTGAGTCTGCCCCCTGAGTGTGTCCTTTATGTTTCCACAAAGCTGCAAACTGGATGGTCCCACTCTGACCTCTGGGCTTTCTGGCTCCTGGATCTCTAGGGAGGTGCTAATCTAGCCTTTGCCTGAGGCTATCCAGCGAAAGCCTCCCTGCAGGGCTTGGGCAGGGCAGGTCCCAGGGGATCAACAGGGTGGGGTTAGCAATTATGGCTGCTCTCAGTCTTGCCCTCAGAGGCTCTGCTTCTGAGTGTCCGGGTAATCGCTGCAAGCCCCTCGGAGAGAAAGCTGCCCTAGGGTTCTGACCGATGCCAGACAGTCCCGCTTCTCCCATATGAGTCGGGTCCCTAGAGACTCGCCCAGAACTGGAGCTTAGAGCCTGAGACTCCTTCCCGATTGAAAACGACAACCGTGCCCTCAGCTGCCAGCCCGCTCCTCATGCACTCTGCACCTTAGTATTTTACTTCCGCACTGCGCCTCCTCTGAGTCTGGGTATGCTTTTCTCTTTCCTTCTAGTTGTAGAATTTCCACTCAGCCAGTCTTCCTGTGGTTCTGGGTGATGTCCGTTCCGTCTTTTAGTTGTATTTTTGAAGTGGTTGTTTGAGGCAGCAAACTCTGGTGTTTACCTATGCCGCCATCTTGGGGGTCCTCTATTTTGTATCCTTACCTATGATTTATATTTTAGCTAATGATGACTGGTAATTTAACCTACTTTTGCTACCTCCATATAATATTAATAAAGAATTGGATTTCAAACTTTTTGTTTAAAAGTATGACTTACAACAAAATAAAAAATGAAAAATAGCATAAATCTAATATAATGAAAACTATAAAAACACTGATGAAATGAACCATATAAGACATGAATAAAAGAAGAATTAGAGCATCTTCACGGTGGAGACATTGTGATGTCAGTGACCTTCGCATTGATCTGTACATTCAAGGCAATCCCAATAAAAACAGCAACAGGATGTTTTTTGTTATCAAAGCTGAATGTAAAAGTATTTGGAGAGGAAGTGGAGTTCAAATAGCCAAAGCTTTTGTCATTCTTGCTGTTGGAGACCCTCGTCCGTCTACTTTCCCCTTTAGTGAGTTCCTCTGGGGCTGGTGCCCCCTCCTCAGCTGCCTGTGTGTGGGGATGTCCAGCAGCGATGAGCAGCAGAGCCCTAATTTCAGCCCCCGCAGCCGAGCCTCTGACTCTGGGATTCAAACCATCCCTTGCAACGTCAGGGAGAACAGCTGGCAGTGGAGCACGGCAGGGCAGTTGGGGCTGCCAGCGCTCCCCCACTCCAGATGTTTCCAGGGGTGTTTGCTTAGGAAACACACACAGGGCAGGGGGCCAACCCCCTCTTCAACAAAACAGACTTTTTCACAAGTAGCAGACTCTTTCCTGGAAATAATCCAGAGGAAATACGGGCACCCACGACTCAGCTCAAAATATCAACAAGGAAAGGAGGCGTGGGGAGCCTCCTGCTTGGAAAACAAACACCAGGAGGGTATAAAAGCCAACAGCCCTGGGCATCTTACACACTCACACTCACTCACACTCACTCACACACACACTGCCACCCTCCTCCAGCCCCACAGCCCCACCATGGCCGCATCCACCCTGTCCGTCTGCTCCAATGGCCTGAGCTACGGCAGCCGGGCCTGCCTGCCCGGGTCCTGTGACTCTTGCATGGACTCCTCCTGGCAGGTGGACGACTGTCCAGAGAGCTACTGTGAGCCTTCCTGCTGTGTCCCCAGCTGCTGCCAACCTTCCTGCTGCACCTCCAGCTGCTGTGTCCCCAGCTGCTGCCAGCCTTCCTGCTGTGCCCCCAACTGTTGTACCCTGACCCCCTGCCTGACCCTTGTCTGTGCCCCAGTGAGCTGTGTGTCCAGCCCCTGCTGCCAGGTGACCTGTGGGTCCAGCCCCTGCCAGTCAACCTGCACCAGCTCCTGCACACCCTCGTGCTGCCAGCCCTCCTGCTGTACCTCCTCCCCCTGCCAGCAGGCCTGCTGTGTGCCCGCCTGCTGCACACCCGTCTGCTGTAAGCCAGTCTGTTGTAGGCCTGTCTGTTGCAAACCTGTCTGCTGCACACCCATCTGCTGCAAGCCTGTCTGTTCTGGGGCCACCCCCTGCCCAGCCCCTTTGAGCTGCTGCAGACCCTCCTCCTGCGTGTCCCTCATCTGCCGCCCCGTGTGCAGGCCTGCCTGCTGCGTGCCCGCCTCCTCCTGCTGTGGCCCCGCCTCCTCCTGCCAGCCCAGCTGTTGATGCCCGCCCATCCTCCTGCATGTCCCTGTTCTGCCACCCCGTGTGCTCCCGCCCGGCCTGCTGTGTCCCCACCTCGGCCCAGACGTCCTGTTGCTGAGCAGGCATGTCCCCCAGGACCAGCCGAACTCGGGTCTCATCCCGTGACTGTGGTCCTCCCAGCCGCCCCTCAGTCTGGTCCTGAGCAGTGTCAGGTGGCTGCCCCCACTCAGGATGGGGAACCTCAGTCTCCACTAACCTGACCTGACCTCTGCCCTCAGGACACCTGGACCTCACTGCTCCCTGGGCTTCTGCCTCCTACACGATGCCTCCACCTGCCCAGGGCCACCTGTCCTTCCCTCCTAGTTTCTCTGTTGAGTCACTTGACCTCTACTCTCAGCTGGTCAGCACCTCCTCGGGCACCCAATAAACTCACCTCAGCACCTGATCGCTTCCTTCTTCTGATTTCATGGGGGAGGGGTGGGGCCATGTGGTTTTCACCAGACATAGGTCCGCTCCAGCCACGGATATTTCTAGAAATGAGTGGCTCAGAGATCCCAAAGTGCAGTGGCCTAACTTCTCCTGGTGGGGCACCAGAGCCCGAGGTCAGTGCCTGCTGGGCCTGTGCCTGGACTTCCTCAGGCTGGTCTCCTGCAGAAAGTCATGGTCTAAGGCAGGGGTCCTCAAACTACGGCCTGCGGACCACATGCAAATACAAATATTGTATTTGTTCCCGTTTTGTTTTTTTACTTCAAAATAAGATATGTGCAGTGTACATAGGAATTTGTTCAAAATTTTCTTTTAAACTATAGTCCGGCCCTCCAATGATCTGAGGGACAGTGAACTGGCCCCATGTTTAAAAAGTTTGAGGACCCCTGGTGTAAGGAGTGTCAGGCTCAAAGGCCATTCACTCACTGTCCATCTGAAACGCCTGGGGCTCCTTGCAGCACAGAATGTGGGCCTGGGGTCCGCCCACAGGTCTGCACTGTGAGCAGAGACCTGATGGAGGGAAGCAGGGAGGGGCTGCTCCAACCCTGATAGAGTCAGAGGGACTGGATGACCTTCCCGCCAGGGCCACACCAAACAATTAGCAAATCGTGGAGCCATGGTATTCTGATGCTGGACTTGAAGGTCATAGAACAGGGACCCCTGAGGGAGGGGAACAAAGACAATGAGTCTCACAGTCGGCCCAACTCACCGCCATGAGAGCATGTCCAGGCCCTGGTGCAAAAATGGAAAACCCAGGCGCCCCATGCACCCCTGAGTCAGAAGTGGCCTTGGGCGTTGAGGGAGCCCCATGCAGCTAGTGTTTATGGCCAGAGTGACAGAGAGCGGAGACCTGCCCTGAGTAACTCTTGGTCCTCAGAGGGTCTCCCTCAAGTGTCAGCTAAGTAATGACCAGCAACCCCATGTGAGTCTGGGATTGGGGAAACCCACAAAACTAGAGGGCTCATCCCAGACATCAAACATGCCTACAGCAGCGCCTATTCCCTCCTGCCAGGTGGAACATGGTCCTGATTCAGGACATCGGGGAGACCACTCAGGGGGCATTGCCTCCGTTGTGGGTAAAATGAGCCCCAGTGGTTCAGTCCTACCTGACAAAGCTGATAGCAAACTCTAAAGAATGAGCCATTCCCCAGAATTTTTAGGATTTTCTACATTTAATATGATAGCATCTGTGAACACAGATTATTTTGCTTTTTCCTGATTTAGATGCCGTTTATTTCTTTCACTGTCTATCTGCTTTCCCAGAGTTTCCAGTCCTATGGAGAATGGAGGTGGCACAAGTGGGCATCCTTATCTTGTTTCTGATCTTAGAGGAAAAGCTTTCAGTCTTTAAAATTGAGTGTGATGTTTGCTGTAGGTTATTCATACATATTCATCTATATATTCATATATACTTATATATATGCTGTTTCCTTCCATTTCTAGTTTGTTGAGTATTTTTATCATGAAAATGTGTTGAGTTTTGTCAAATTTGGGGGGGGGGTTGCATCAGTTGAGATGGTCATGTATTTTTCCCCTCATTCTATTAATGTTGTATATTACACTGATCAACTATCATATGTAGAACCATCCTTGCATTTCAGCAATAGATGTTTCTTGGCCAAGGTTTATATCTCTTAATCTGGTGCTGAATTTGATTTGTTAGTAATACTTGTGGGATTTTACATCAATGTTCATCAGGAATATTGACCTGTAGCTTTCTTTTCTGGTAGTGTCTTTGTCTGGCTCTGGTATCAGAGTAATACTGGCTTTATAGGATGAGTTAGGGAGAGTTCCCTCTGAAGGTTACAGTGACCTCGGGATGAACAAAAAATCCTTAACTTGATATAAGGCATCTATGAAACTCTCACAGCCAACACCACACTCCATTGAAAAGACAACACGTTTTCCTGAGACTAGGAACAAGACACAGATGTCCCCTCCCACCACACTATTCAGCCTCATACTGAGGGTCTGAGCCAGAACAAGACAAGAGAAAGAAGTAAAAGGCAGGCATATTGGAAATGCAGAAATGAAATGGTCTCTATTCACAAAGGACATGATTGTCCACATAGAACACCCCCAGGAATCTATAAAAGGTCTCCTGGAAATATAAGAGTTTGGAAAGATTGAAGAATGCAAACTTAAAATAATAATTAATTGTAGTTCTATACGGAGGTGGGCAAAAGGAGATTTACAGTTATGAGTACATGAAACAGAGCTTATTCTTATGTTGTTGTTTGTTTTTGAATAATTTTATTATTGATTTGTATTCTTTGCCTCCTTATTATTGTTATTATTTTGTATCCTTACCTATGATTTATATTTTAGCTAATGATGACTGGTAATTTAACCTACTTTTGCCACCTCCATATAATATTAATAAAGAATTGGATTTCAAACTTTCTGTTTAAAAGTATGACTTACAACAAAATAAAAAATGAAAAATAGCATAAATGTAACATAATGAAAACTATAAAAACACTGATGAAATGAACTAAAGCAGGCATGAATAAATGGAGAATTAGAGCATCTTCATGGGTGGAGACATTGTGATGTCAGTTACCTTCGCATTGATCTGTACATTCAAGGCAATCCCAATAAAAATAGCAGCAGAATTATTTTTTGTTAGTAAAAGTATTTGGAAAGGCAAAGGAGCTCAAATAGCCAAAGCTATTGTCATTCTTGCTGTTTGAGACCCTCGTCCGTCTATCTTCCCCTTTACTGCGTTCCGCTGTGGCTGGTGCCCCTCCTCAGCCGCCTGTGTGTGGGGATATCCAGCAGCGTAGGCAGCAGAACCCCAATTTCAGCCCCTGCTGCCCAGCCTCTGACTCTGGGATTCAAACCATCCCTTGCAACATCAGGGAGAACAGCTGGCAGTGGAGAAGGGCAGGGCGGGTGGGGCTGCCAGGGCTCCCCCACTCCAGATGTTTCCAGGGGTGTTTGCTTGGGAAACACACAGGGCAGGGGGCCAAGCCCCTCTTCAACAAAACAGACTTTTTACAAGCAGCAGACTCTTTCCTGGAAATAATCCAGAGGAAATACGGGCGCCCAGGACTCAGCTCAAAATATCAACAAGGAAAGGAGGCGTGGGGAGCCTACTGCTGGAAAACAAACACCCAGGAGGGTATAAAAGCCAACAGCCCTGGGCATCTTACACACTCACACTCACTCACTCACTCACACACTCACACACTCACACCCTCCTCCAGCCCCACTGCCCCATCATGGCCGCTTCCAACCTGTCCGTCTGCTCCAATGGCCTGAGCTATGGCAGCCGGGCCTGCCTTCCCGGGTCCTGTGACTCTTGCATGGACTCCTCCTGGCAGGTGGACGACTGTCCAGAGAGCTGCTGTGAGCCCTCCTGCTGTGTCCCCACTTGCTGTGTCGCCAGCTGCTGCCAACCTTCCTGCTGCACCTCCAGCTGCTGTGTCCCCAGCTGCTGCCAGCCCTCCTGCTGCACCTCCAGCTGCTGTGTCCCCAGCTGCTGCCAGCCTTCCTGCTGCACCCCCAGCTGTTGTACCCTGACCCCCTGCCTGACCCTTGTCTGTGCCCCAGTGAGCTGTGTGTCCAGGCCCTGCTGCCAGGTGACCTGTGGGTCCAGCCCCTGCCAGTCAACATGCACCAGCTCCTGCACACCCTCGTGCTGCCAGCCCTCCTACTGCACCTCCTCCCCCTGCCAGCAGGGCTGCTGTGTGCCCGCCTGCTGCACACCCGTCTGCTGCACACCCGTCTGCTGTAAGCCAGTCTGTTGTAGGCCTGTCTGTTGCAAACCTGTCTGCTGCACACCCATCTGCTGCAAGCCCGTCTGTTCTGGGGCCACCCCCTGGCCAGGCCCCTTCGAAGCTGCTGCAGGACCCTCCTTCCTGCGTGTCCCTCATCCTGCCCGCCCCCGGGGCAGGCCTGCCTGTGGGGGGCCCCCCTCCCCCCTGGTGTGGCGCCCCCCCTCCCTCCTGGCAGCCCAACGTGTTGATGCCCCGCCCATC